GTTCCTTGTGTCCGACCTGGACATACTCGACGCTTTCCACCCCGGCACTTGAGGCGAGACGGGCCAGGGCGTCGGCTTGTACGTTCTCTGTCCGAGGGATATGTTCTATTTTAGCCCGGATTTTGGTCAGTTTTCTCTTCACCAACCCCAGGTATGGGACCAGTCTTGGTTCCTTCACCTCGAACTCTCCGGATATCTGCTTAACCATCAGCTTGGAATCTGAGTATATGACGAGGTCAGTTAGACTCATGGCTTCTGCCAAGGCGAGCCCGGATAGAAATGACTCATATTCGGCTTCGTTGTTGGTTGCCGGGAAGAGATATTGTATTGAATGGCAAAAGAGCTACTTGTGGGGATCCACAAGGACGACTCCTCCGCCTGCTCGTCCGGCAGTGGAGGATCCATCCACGTACATCACCCAAGGCTGTTCGTTCGTTTCTCTGAGTCCTGGCGTGAATTCGGCTATGAAGTCCGATAGTACCTGCCCCTTCATTGTTGTTCGGGGTCGGTAGTGGATGTCGTATTGCCCCAGCTCCACTGCCCATTTCACCATCCGGCCTGATGTGTCAGGCCAGTGAAGAATCTGTCTCAGCGGGTAGGCGGTGAGCACGGTTATCGAATACTCGAGGAAATACGGCCTTAATTTTTGCGCGGCGGTTACCAAGGCGAACGCGAGTTTTTCTATCGGCGTGTATCGCAGCTCGGCATCGTGAAGCGCCTTGCTGATGTAGTAGACAGGATGTTGGGAAGATTCGTCCTCTCGGATGAGGGCGGCGCTGATTACCACGTCAGAGACTCCCAAATAGAGGAAAAGCATCTCTCCAGGTCGGGGTTTTTGCATGGTCGGAGCCTGGCACATGGTTTCTTTGATAGCTTCTAATGCTTGCTGGCACTCCGGAGACCACCCGAACTTATGATTCTTTTCGATTGCGTCGAAGAACGGTTTACACCGGTCTGTCGATTTCAAGATGAATCGACTGAGGGCGGAAAGCTTGCCAGTTAGGCTTTGTACCCCTTTGATTGAGGTCGGCGGTCGGAGATCCTAGACGGCCTTGATCTTTTCGGGATTGGCGTCGATGCCGCGTTGGCTGACGATGTATCCCAGGAATTTTCCCGAGCCGACACCAAAAGTACATTTTTTGGGGTTTAACTTCATGTTGTAATCACGCAAAATCAAAAACATTTTATTAAGGTTGTTTACATGGTCGGATGCATACACAGATTTGACCAACATGTCATCTACATACACTTCCATACTGACACCTATCAAACTAGTAAACATCTTGTTGACTAGGCGCTGGTATGTGGCCCCGGCGTTCTTCAACCCGAACGGCATCATGGTGTAACAGTAGAGCCCTCGTGCCGAGTAGAAAGAGATGTGCTCGGCGTCATCTGGGTGCATCGGGATCTGGTTGTAGCTGGAATATGCATCCATGAAGCTCATCAGTTCATGCCCCGAGGTGGCGTCCACCATATAATCAATGTGGGGCAAGGGCTAGCTGTTTTTGGGGCACGCCTTGTTGAGGTCGGAGAAGTCGATGCAAAGGCGCCATGCCCCGCTGGCCTTCTTCACCAGTACCGGGTTGGCAACCCGGGTTGGGTACCAGACTTCCCGAATGTAGTCATTGTCCTTGAGCTTGATCACTTCTTCTTCGAGAGCTTGCTGCCGGTCTGGCCCCAGCTTCCTCCTCTTTTGAACGACTGGCCTGACTGTGGGTCGACCTGCAACCTATGACAGGCGACCTTTGGGTCAATGCCGACCATGTATTCGTGGGTCCATGCGAATACATCCGCGTTTTCTCGAAGGAAACTGGTTAGCTCGGCCTTTAATGGCGCTGGCAGTTTACTGCCGATGCGAAGTTGTTTTTGATAGGTCTCCTCATCGATGAATATGATCTCGACCTCGTCCATGGGCTCGGCCCGCTTTGTGCCCCTCTTCTCTTCGTATTGGGTTCGGGGGTCGAGCTCGTCCTCCTCCAGGATCGGCTCCTTTCCAGCTCTTCGACCCCGGTCCTGGTCCAGGTCGTACTCTGTCCCCTTCTCCTGCTCGGCACTCGTCCCAGCCTGGGGGAGCGGACCTATCTGGATTTCCAGCATGTGGTCGTCTCCCAGGCCGGGATGAACCACCTCGGTATCTGGGTCCATATGACCCCCCTCGATATTTGTTTCTCCTTCCACCTCGGCGTTTTCGACAACCTGGGAGGCACTTGGCGTGATCAGGAGGGGCGAATCTGTCTGGTTTCCCAGCATGCGGTTGCCCTCTTCCCCTTCGCGGGATATGGTTATAATCGTCCCGGCTTCAGGGGCGGAGTTGGCTGCGTTGATT